AGAGTTTTAAAATGTTGTTAAGTTTGATTTGGGTTTTGCAATCGTTCGCGCGCTGCGTGTTTTTTTTACACCGCATAGTCACGCTTTTATTGGAAGCTGCAGTAACTTTTACGAAGAAACATTATTTGCCGGCCAAGATCGGCCTGGCGGCAAGTAACATGTATTTCTTTTTATTACAATTTAAACACCTGTTTTCTACATTGGGCCATTTATACTTGGTATGGTACAAATATTAGCATTCGATTGACAAGTGCTGTCGGGCGAGAAGTCTCAGAAGCTCTTGTCCTGTGATGATAGTTGTCCATCATTGTTAAAATTAAAAATGGTTATAGATTGAAAACTTAACTGACTAAAACGAAAAGTAGTAGTAACAGATACAAGGTAGTTCTAGGAAAATTCTGATGATTATCTCATGGGCATTTGAAAAGGCGTTCAATACACCACGTGTGGTAGTATTTATTTTCCCGGGAAGTGCTATGTGTCTTTGGTTTTATGCGCATATATTCCAACATGCAATTATCTTAAAGGAGTAGAGTTTTTTTTGGTCCTTCATGGCAATAGTTGCATGGTTGCTGTCGGGGCACATGAACTTGCTTAAGTTGTATTTATGTACTGCTTTGTAGTTTTTTTCAGACTGCCAACTCTGTTAACTTATAATACTGAACATGGAAGAGAAAATCTGTGTTTGAATTTTAAAGTTCAGTATTAGTTTTCTCTAGGCTAATTCTCTGTCAGCCTTTGTAACATGTTCCGTAATATCGTCAAGATGGTTAATCGAATTCGCCTCATTTTCCAGCAGTAGATCAAAGGATTCAAGGTTGAATTAAGAAACAACAGAGTCGAACTGAACAGATCCAAAACAACGGTATTGGAGCTTGCTGGACCAGAGATAAGATAGACAATTAAAAAACAGAAATTCGGCAAATAACAAACCAAAAACGCAAGATATACCAATAATGTTCCCATTGCAAATTTTCTCCAGCCTGCTGCGTTTCGCATGTTAGCATCGCTGCTCTGAGCTGTTGGTTGAACTTGTAAAGCTTGAATTTGGTTCGCGTGTCGACGTACAGCAACAAAAATCTTGACATTAAGTGGCGCTGTAGTCAAGAGAAGAGAGAGAAAAATAATGGAGTAAATAATGAAAGAAATTCGTGTCGGGATCCACAGTCTCAGAAACGATAAAACTGCGCTGCAAACCCACTTTGAAATCATTACAGTGACAACACGTTTGTGGGTCACAAGTTCTTGGTATCTGAGAAATAAACACACAGCGATGAATCCATCTAAACTTAAAAAAGTCACTCCAAAGAAAGACGCATAACCAAACAAATTCACCGTGAAGGCGTAGAATTTGAAGACTATGTTATAGGCTGGATTGTTTTCAGTTTTTGGCTCCATTTCCATGACAAGAGTGGCAATGTACGAGGGCTGCACCATCAAACCAACACCCAGATCAGAAACAGCCAGACTGAAGAGCAGGGTTTTTAAAGGTCTTGGTAATGATGAGAGTTTTGTTAAGGCGTAGATCGTCAAACAGTTTAACATTACAGCAGTGTATGATAAGAAAGCGTTCAAAACGCAAGTGGTGATATATGATGAAGTAATGTCTTCATCGTTTTCCATGATTGTAGACGTTAAAGAACGCTACAAAAAAGGAAAAGTTTCAAGGTCGCCAACTTCTACTCACAGTTTTGTGTTGAAATATGCATGTGAGAGACTTGATTAAAATACCAAAAGGCCACAGATGTGGCGCAGGTGTTTTTTGGACTCTGTTTCCTGCCTTGAATAAATTGCAACCCGGGTGAACATACGAACCTATGTTCTGATTGGCCAACGTGATCGCACACTCAGTCAAAATTTCGTAACTAGGTCAAACAAGCTTAATTAGTATAGACGCAATTTTGACTGTCAATCATTTCGCGAATTCAGTAATACGTCTTTAAGAGTCTATATATTTTAATCTAAAAGTAAAAGTAGTCACGACGCGTCAAGATTGTAGCCTGCTCAAATTTCAAAATTCTATCGACTTAATCAAGTTGTGTTTCGTTTTATGTTAGGTAGCCCCTGACTCTCGTATAAACGTATTTTTATGAAAAGCTATCAAAAATTTGTAACACGAGCTAAACTTCCCTTTATTTTGCTCTTCCTCGCTTCTCCAAGAAAACACCACTCCACACCAAACGATCGACAGAGACTCCATGGAGACGAGAAGTTCAAAGGTTTTAATTAAAAAGAAAAACAAATCGAACTCAGTGATCCTTACAGTAAAGAAGTACGTAAACTATATTTCAACACGAGGTTACAGAAAGTTTTTCTGTTCCAGCGTTCGTGGATCAGTCAGCTAACTTTCCTAGTGAATAAAATGTAAACTATAAGAAACAATTTTCTAGGATACTCGGCAATAACAATAAATATACGCGTCATAAAAATTTAAGTTCTGGATTTTCCCTTGTTAATTATACTTCTTAGGCCCGCACGTGGCCAACATCTCATGTTTTGAACACAGATGGATTTTAAAGCGTAAGGTTATAATTTGAGAACCTGGTAAATTCTTACTTGCAACGTACAGCTGTTTGTCATGTGCACAGAGAGACTATAATTATAGAGGAGAAAGAGAAAAGATCGTAAACAGAAACATTAAAGAGCAATAAACCTAATACAGATCCTTGTAGAATTCCCAGCCTGACAAGAGAATCATAATTTTGAAACCTGTTTTAATTTCTAGTTTATTTCAATCTTTTCTCTACTTTATCTTTAGCTGTAACAATTATTGAATAACGCTAATTATTTGAAGAATTATGGAGATCGAGAAGGATGTTATCTCATTAATTCTACAGATCATACGAAATGCGAATCAAAAATTGTTTTTTTATTCATTCAAAATAACTCCTAGCTTAAAAACAAGCTAAAGCATACATTGAACCTCGATCGATGTTAAGTTCCTTTCTTCAATTCCCTGTTTATTGGCAAGTTCAGGAGATAAAGGGATGCTTAGTTCTGCAGATATTCTCCAAATAGCAGATGTCGTCCATCAAGTTGTATTCTTTCTTTTTATTGGGCTGCCTATGGCAAAGCCCATCGAAAAATGGAGGCCCTCGACTGTTCAGCAAAAAGACAATAGAAGACCGATCAAATTACGTTTCCCATCCCCCCTACGATGGGCCACCTTTTTCAGTTATTGGGGTGAGGGGGGCCATTTAAAAACAAAATCATTGCAAACCGTGAGACTTATACCGAAAGCTAATATTCTTGCGTAAGTTAATTAGTCCTATATTTAAACCTAAAAACTGGAAAAGAAAATCCGAAGCTACGATGAGTTTCTTTTGAGGTTTTTTTTTTCACTTTCTCGTATATCATAAATTAAATTTAAAGCCTTTTAATAAATTTTTTCCCTTTCAAAAGGCGATTGCAAATCTCCCTCCGTGTGTCGGTGTGTGCATCCCGCGTTGAATGAGAATGTGTCTGAAGCTATCGTATGGCGCTTTTTTCAATGCCTTCTTCAAAAGATAGTAGGATGAATCGCTTTCGAGATTTTCCTTCACTAAACGAGAAAGTTCTCAGTGTTTGATGAGTGCTTTCTCTCCCAACATGTGACAGCAAATTTCTTTTTGATGTTATTGCTATTCTCTCCCTGCGTATGGGAAGTCATTTCTGTAGATCGCCTCATCAAGTAGAAACATTTTCACCTGGATAGTCTGAAGGGCCTTAAACCCAGCATCCCAGGAAGAAACAAAACTAAAACTGAAATTGCTTTGCGAGTTTTAAGAAACAGAAAATTACTGCTATAAAACAGTATTTCACGAAAAGTTGACCCTGTCACGTTTTATAAGCGTAGAACGACAATAATTTTTGACATTTCGGGTTAGTTCAAATTAGCCACGTTTGGGGGACAGAGGGGGTTGAGGGAAGGGGGTGCGCTATGAAAGTGCCCTGTTAAAATACTGTAGTGTAAATTGTCTCTTGTTTTAAAATGCTAATCTGTCCCTTAATAACGAGGTGTCCGTATTAAGCGGGTGTCAGTAAGGCGGGGTTTGACTGTAGAAGTTACTACAGATGAAGATGAATTACTCGGTAAAACACACTTTATAGAAATTAAATTTTCTTCCCCCCCCCCCCCCCCCACTGTGTGATATCGCGTCTTAACTCCATTTTTAGACCCTTCAACGAGTAAATTTAAGTTTTGATAAAAATCGGTTTAACAAAATCCGTCAACATGCTGAAAAGAGAGTCTTAAAATTAGTAAACTTGCCAAGTATCAGAGGGAGTATTACCTCACAAGAGAGTGAAAATATAGCTCCGCAGAGTTGCGAAAATTCATAGACGTTTGTATGGTGGTGGTGGTAGGGGGGGGGGGGGAGTTTGCGCCAACCCACCATACAAACGACTGTAAAATTTTATGACGTTGATTCATTTCTTCGTTAGTTTTCAACACTGAAATCACTTTCAAACTCGACAATTTTACTAATTAAAAGACGCTCTTTCCAGCGTTATCGACGGATTTTCTCTTATTCGACTGGTCCACGTACAAAGTTACAAGGAAAAAACCTTGGAAAGACCTTTTGTGTTTTGTTAAAACATGATGTAGTAGATATTGAAATATCTACAACACCCTTCAAGACTTCTTATCCAAATTATTGACAGTCATATAATTACAACGATATCATATCTATCAGTTTTTAACCAAGCTCCAGGTGATGGCTTACTGTTGGCCAATCAGAAAACAGAATTTGCTGAATCCCACTCTCTCTCAAGGACAGCTATATAATAACGGAGCTGATATATATTCAATATCTACATGTTTACCCTGACAGAAAAGAAATGAAAACGGAAAGTAGTTTCAGTTCAAGTCAAAGAGTTCCTCAACGCCCAATATTTCGGAAAGCTTTCCCGTTCATATTTTGTAATTTTGTTTCAACACCAAACTATGTTCTGTGAGTATGTACAATCTGGCGACCACGAAACCTTTCCTCTGAGGCAGCGTATATACTTTAACATTTGCAATGATGGAAAATGAAGACATCACCTCATCATACATCACCACTTGCGTTTTGAACGCTGTCTTATCTTACACCGCTGTTATGCTAAACTGTTTAACGATCTACGCCTTAACAAAACTCTCATCATTACCAAGACCTTTAAAAACGCTGCTTCTAAGCCTGGCTGTTTCTGATCTGGGTGTTGGTTTGATGGTACAGCCTTCGTACATTGCGTCTCTTGTCATGGAAATGGCACACAAAACTGAAAACAATCCAGCCTATAACATAACCTACAAACTCTATGTTTTCACGGTGAATTTGTTTGGTTTTGCGTCTTTCTTCGGAGTAACATTTTTAAGTTTCGATAGATTCCTGGCTGTTTACCTACATCTAAGATACCAGGAACTTGTGACCCACAAGCGTGTTGTTGTTGTAATGGTTTCAAAGTGGGTCTTCAGTGCCGTTTTTTCGTTTATGAGACTGTGCATCCCAACACGAGTTTCCTTTATAATTTACGCTGTTATTTATCTCTCTTTCCTCGTAACAACAACACCGATTCATTACAAGATTTATGTAACAGTACGTCATTACGCGAACCAAATGCAAGCCTTGCAAGTACAACCAACGGCTACTCAGAACGGCGAAGCAGGAACGAGTAACACTGCAGGCTGGAGAAAATTTGCAATCGGAACGTTATTGGTATATCTTGCGTTTTTGGTTTGTTATTTGCCAAATGTCTGCTTTTTAATTGTCTATCTTATCTTTGGTCCATCGAGCTCCATTGCCGTTGTTTTGGATTCTTTCAGTTCGACTCTGTTATTTCTTAATTCAACGTTAAATCCTCTGATTTACTGTTGGAAATTGAGAAGAATTCGATTAACCATCTTGACGATATTAAGGATTAGCGATATTACCGATTAGCGTAGATAAAAATAAACCTGAAATTCTAAAATTTCTTCATTCTCACTCTCTGTTTTCCCTTTTGTATTGAGTTAACAGTGTCTACAAAGGGCGCCCATTAAGTCTGAAAAACTCAGACATCGATAAAACTTATTAAGCGAGTTTTTGGAGCCGTGCAGATTGGAAGGCAACTTTTGTCTTGAAAGGCCACGAAGAGCTGACAGTCTTAAGATAAATGCTCACTGAAACATTCATACAAATTAATATTCGGATTAATATACCCACATAGCACCGTTCCGGGACAGTGAAAATGACCTCTACAATATTTAAGTGTATTGAAAGCTTTCTGAGAAGTCATGAGAAGTCATGACCTTCAAAGTTTTTCTGTATGTGTGACATTTTTACCGTTTTAGTCAGTTTTGTTTAGTTTTTCTGTCTAAGCATTTTCAATTTGAACTATAATGGATAACTATAATTATAAGGCATCAGTCTGAGTGACTTTCCAGCAGCATTATGATATGCTAATATTTTTAATATACCAAAGGTAGCAGGTGTTTTTTACTGCAATGGGAAAGAGATTTGTTATGTTTAATAATATATTTTTTCTTGCGGGCAATCCCAAGCGGAATTATTGCGTTCGCCTGACGTCAGGAGAACACAACCTTAGCCTTGCATAAATACATAGGTTTAAGAAAACTCAGAAATAGACTAGCCTGCTTGGCCAGCGTCGAATAGGGTGGGGATCAAGCGCTTTACTAACAACCGCTGCTTGTCATAGATCTTACACCAGAGCGGCAGTTTGTTTCAGTTTTGTAGTCGTGATTTTGTTTTAGAACCGATTACGAGGACAAAGTTTGTAACAAAACGATAAGTTTAGATTCCTTGATCACTTGAGGTAGATAAGTCGGTTTTTTTTATATTTGTGTGTTATATCTTCTTCGCTTTATCTGCAATAAAAAATAACGTTTAAAAATTCACGGCAGACCCCAAAATTTCAATTTTCAAGTTGTAAACATTAAACTTGCTAATATTTGGCTTAATTTATTTATTTTACAGTCCACCAGTTTAATAAAGTCTGAATTTTTTTAAGCCGTCATTGTAAAAGAAGTTTTGCAATTACTAACTGCTGCAAAGCCAAGTTTTAATCTTACGTTTTGCTTAGTAAACTGTAATTAATTTTTTGCTCCATTTTGTTAATCGTCATCCTCGATTACC